CAATCAATGATCCCAAGGGGCTAGAGCCACTTACCCCAAACCATTTACTCACCATGAAATCCTCTGTTCCTCTGCCTCCACCAGGGAAATTTGTGCAAGAAGACCTGTACGGAAGAAAAAGGTGGCGCAGAGTACAATATCTGACAGAGCAATTTTGGAGTAGATGGAGGAAGGAATATCTGACAAACATCACTCTCAGACAACGGTGGCATACTCCAAGACGCAATGTGAAGATTGGGGATATCGTCATCGTCAAGGAGGAAGGAGTTCCGCGCAATGAATGGAGACTTGGAAGAGTGCTTGATGTTTGTGAAGATGAAGATGGCCTGGTGCGAAAAACCACAATACAAATAGGAAATAGAAAGTTAGGGAAAGAGGGTCAGCGACTTACTAATCCATCCATCCTTGAACGTCCTATTCACAAATTAGTGGTACTTGTAGAAAACAATTAAATCTTATGCAATGGAACTAATCTCTTTACTCCACAAGTTGATAGTTTGAAGTATTAAGAGTTTAAATATTAGACTTGATGCCAAGAGTCAGAGAACATTCTATATGGTTCTGAAATTTGTTTTGTGAAATCACTAAATTTATTCAAACTTGTGCATAAGTTCATCATAAATTATAGTGATTTGGTGGGAGTGTAACTGTCAAAGGACATGTATTTTGTTGAGATTTGTTTTTGTTATAAATTAATGTAAATTTGAGTTCATTTAAAAACAATTGTGATATTTAGAAGCGGATATTTATAATATATGGTGTTTAAAGTTAGGGGTTCTTTAAGGAGGATTTACGTAGAAGAAAAACGTGATGTCACATGACCCGGTTCAGTTTGGAGCGGGTCTGCGTCATTTTGTGGGTCAGAACGAACATGGATGCAGAGAAACGACATGTAGTCTGAAAAGAATTGCTTAATCTGCATGGTTTGAGAGGCGCACACGGTAATTTACCTTTATATACATTTCATAATGTTTATAATATTGTTTTATATTACTTTACGTGCACGATGTGATGTGCTATTCGTGATGTTGATTGGATTCGTTGTATTTCTGTTGTCATTCACTTTCATATCATCGGACATTGTCACGAGAGACTTGTAAAGGACTGAGAAATGCATATTTTGAATATGTTTTCATTTTTTTTGTAGTTTTCACGGTGTCTATGGTGTCTACTGAAAAGAAAGAGAGAGAGATGTACAAAATAAACGACAAAAGACATCTGTATGAATCGTGGCCTTTATTTCGTCAGACCAGTGCAGCTATACATGGGCTAAGCTAAGTGCTAACATAGTTTTGCGGCAATACAGAGCGATATAGTGCACGCACTGAGACGAGAGAGGTATGTATCAACTCGTCTTAGTTAAGGGAATAACACAGTTTAATAAGAAAAACTGGTGGAGTATCCCTTTAAGATATATCAATTTGATATGAAGCCCTGAATCTGTTCTGTCTGTATTGGTCTACTCTTCTTTAGCCTACAGTAGGCTTGACGATGGCCTTTTGATTATACTAATAAATTCAGGCACTCAACAAATCTCACCAGTTGGTCTGTTTGACAGATTGACTGTGAAAATAGCTGCCTGTTGACATTTCCAGCCTCAGGTCTCGTAGAAGGGCCAGCCGATGATTAATCTCTGGTTGACCTGATGGATGCGCTTGTATGAATCACTCTGTTATTATGACTCATGCGATTAGAGCAGTCGTCTCACAAACTAGCCCGTTTCTTGATACGGTCACTGCCTACTTCCAGTAATATTGTTTAAATCTGACTGTCACAACTCTGAATGTTGCAGCCTACTGTATGTTGAAGGATGTTTCTTCAAGTCAATATGCTCCACTCACTAGGATGCATTCAGATAAATTGGGCTATTTTTTTTAAAGCAATCTCAATGTAAAAGTAAATAAATAAAAACCTCTGTTTTGTTTTTTTTCTGATTTCAATCAAAAATATGTAATTATACATATATATTATACTTATTATACTTCTTTATAAAATGTAGATCCAACAATAATAATGAAGAGAATTCCGGCCCTATTACAGCTGTTTAGGGGGTAGAAATCCTATTGCAGGGTCTATTGGCAAGTCTTTGCATAATCTGCTGCCTGAGCTTTGATAGACTGAGACAGCTGCTCTGGTATTTCAGACGTCCCGCTTGGACATTCCACCAAGACAAATTGCATTAGTCATCATAACATACAGTATCTTTTATGAAGATGCTGTGTTCTGGCATATGCTGTGAGATGCTACATTTTAAACCAGATTTTTATATGCAAAAGTTGTCACCATATGCTGGGATGCTGGGAGTCATTTTTAGACTGTTGTTATGCAGTTTCTTCGGTGTTCTGGGTGATTACTTGCCCTAATCATTGATGTGTTGTCCTTAGATACTGTGTTGCTAGGATCCCTCCTTTTTCCTGGTTGCGGTGTTTTGTTTCTTAATGAATCAGTGTCTTGTAACGATCGGTTGGGTGAATGATTCAGTGACACACTCATAAAGGCAGCCACTTGTTTTATTCCTGAATGAATCAGTGTTTTCTTTGAATTAGTTGAATGAATAATTCAGTTTAGTGATTTACTCATAAAGGCAGTCACTTGTCACCCATACTTACTGGCTATCTGGAACAAGTAAACAAAGACAAGCGAAGTGATACAAACAGTAAAAAGTCCTATTACTGTTGACCTGTATAAGTCTTGGTCAAACAAATTCAAGGGCCAGAACCGATTGTTATGTAATGATATACAGATGTTGGGCATTTTATTTTTAGAACTAAACTGGTTTATGATGTCATATTATGGTTCAGAAACCTCATAAGGTGCTAAAAAATGTGAGGGCTAGACCAAAATATGAAAGGCAAACACCCATGTGATCAAAAGAGGATCATCTTGTGTTCTCATTACAGGATTACCCAATAAATGCTACGTCACGTCTAAGTAGCATATTAAATCCGTATGGCTGTCTTCCCCTTTGCTCTTTAATAACATCCTCAAAGAACATCATGAGCTTTTGATTTGCAATAACCGTTCTGCTTCTTTGGTGATGCTCTTTCTTGCAATCTTTGAAAGGACAAAACCCTCTTTAAAAAAGCATCTAACTCCCTGCTGTGTTCAATATTGAGGATAACCCATTCCGTCTGGATTTAAATTGTTCTGACATTGTGTCTTATATAAGACCACCTCTGTTTTTGTTTCACTCAGAATCCGGCTCCCCTGTTGATTCCTTCCAATGGATGTGCTTTTGTTATTGAGAGATGTCTCACATAAACATCAAATACACGTGCTGTGTAAGCAAGCGGTACATTCAGTTTTAGCGAATCTCTCAGAAAGCCAATCAATAGTTGTCTTGAGAGAGAGAGAGAGAGAGAGAGAGAGAGAGAGAGAGAGAGAGAGAGAGAGAGAGAGAGTCAGGCAATTGTCAGGAAATTGTAAGTTATCTCTTGTAAGAAAAGTGTCAACCACATTAGATGTGATTATTTTGGAGCATTGCATTCATGATTTATTTGACAGGGTTATAAATGCTGCTTGTTTGCTCAAACACCCAAAAGCAGATCTGCCAAGCAAGACGTTAATGATGGAGTTTACACTCTGGAGAATCACTTTATCATATTTTCAGAAAAAGGCACAATGGGAAAAATATTCAAATCATGTAGATTTCTAAGATTTAATGGCTTGGATGGATTCATTTTTGAAGCCCACATTTTCTTAGCACACTAGATTGCCGCTTGTTTAGAACCTGTGAGATTTCAGTTTTCACTCATCCTTCAGGCAAAATTACAGTATAACAAACTGCATTTATCTTAGAACAAGCAACATACAAATTATGCAAAGAATAAGGTAAATTTACAGCTGCCTTGTGTGTTATATAGCAGTGTGGCTGGGGAATCTGGTTATGCAATGCATTCTAAATACCAAAGGCAATGTTCTCGGTCCTAGTTTGTAAATCAATTGATTTAGCAATATCATAAATGAGCAACACCATCACAATGGGGTTTTCTTATTGTGTTCATTCCAGTACACTGTGTTTGTCATCTGTTGCATTGCATTGCGTGCAATAGTTTGTTTTTTGGACCAACAGTGCAGTAACTCTTTGCAATGCAATTTGTGTGAACAGATACATTGAGACAATCTTTGGACATTCAAGGTGGTGATATACAGCACTACATAAAACTGTAAACTGTTTTGTCTGCAGTGAAAGTGCACATATAAACATGTTGTGATCCTGTCAGAAAACAAATTGTCAAATCAACAAATGGCCCAAGGCTCAACAAAACAGTGACATTGCGAATTGTGTGCTGTGATTTTGTACTTTATTTTACACTAGAATTTAAACATTTGGAAGAATATATTTGTACTATTTCCATAAGTTGTAAGGAAAAATCGAAAAACATATTAATGGACCCTCATTTTGCACTGTTGGGTGATATTGAGAGTTAGGTGAGGTTGACGTTGAAAGTAAGAAAGTAAAATGTTTTATCCGAGTGATACGAATATACTTTATATCATATTTTGTGTGTAATTTAACTTATTTAACTAAATCGTTTTTTTTATTGATTTAATTTATCTCTGTATATTATATCTGTACAGGAAATGGTTTTTGTATGACAGATTTCTTTATATAAAAAAACAAAAAAACAAAAAAAAAACATACTAAACCAATTTTTATGATTGTGCAGTTAATCCCCAACCATATGTGTGACATATTCCTTATTATTCATTATTGGTCAAGATTTTTCCTTTATTGTGATGCTTTACAGACCCAAAACACTTCCACACACTTTCTGGAACATATTCTATTTCATAAGACATATCAGATTACTTGAGTTTTTATGATTACAGACTGTTAAACCACGCTGCAAATACGATATGTATCTCAGGGATTTCTCCAGCTCGTCGAAAGGGCAAAACATCATCTGTGGGGGCAAGAAAAGGACACCATCTAATCAAGACAACCGTGTACATCTACATATCTACACACTGCCAGTCAGTGAACAGAAACAGAGGACATGAGGATACTTGATGAACAAGGGTAATTACTTCTCTTTATGAAAGCTGTGATTGGTTATGTAAAGGGATGATTAGGATATTTCTCATGCGGTTGTCTCTGTAGCTAATACTGCCTCTTTGGAAAGCAGGGAATATTATTATATAATTATGATGAATTGTTGCTAATTAAGAAAAAAGATGTAAATGTAACATGGGTGTTCTTTCCCTGTCAGACGGACAATCACCGACCTCATGAAGACACCGGGTCGTCCTTTAAGCCCACACATTACCTGTGTCCATTCATCCAAAATCTCTTCTGAAAAGCAGCTCATGGACACAATGTTCATTGGTAAGGGTCACTATATTATCTATCGCAAATTTAAATAATTAAATAATAAATCTGCGAAATTACACTGCTGGTGAGGATAGGGACAGAAAACAACATTTTCTCATTTATTTTACATTGTGCCAAACAGCCCCTGGCACACATTCAAGCTCTAATTATCTGTCTGCTGTGAAATTCAAAAGTCAGGTCACATCGGCAATCTGTGACTCAATCAAACCCTGTAATAAACAGGATTTTGAACATGTAATCAAATGTTTTGATGTAAAATGCAAGAAATACTGAGTATTCAGTACTATTTCTAAGGCACTAATCAAATAAGCCAATTTGTGACCATCTTGTTTCAGGGTGTCGGAACCATACTAGTCCATAATACGTCCATTTGTCAAGTTCATGATGATGTTTGCTGTCATTTACAAACACTGAGCTATGAGGGGTAAAAGCAATGGCATAAAGCTGTGTAGCACATGTATTTTCTGACTGTCTCTTTCTCTTGTTTCTTTTTTACAGTTGGTGGTTGGACCCCAACAGCTACGTCATGCGCTGTGGAACGATTTTATCCTCTCTATAATGAATGGAGAACAATGGCGCCAATGCTGAAGCGTTGTGGAGATGTAGCTGTCTGCTCATTGGGTGGAATGATCTTTACTCTAGGTGGACGTGATGACATCACCAGTGTGAGCAGTGTGGAGAAGTAAGAACGTGATAAAAGCCATTCTTTAAATGCGCTTAAAAAGCTTCTCCCTAAAAATCCTAGTTCTATATATTTTGGTACTCTTTCCTTTGATCTGGGCCTACCATAACTAAACTGTGAAGTGCAAAATAATAATTATCATTGAGATAAAATATAAAGGTCAGTGCACATGAGAAGCTCTCTTAATTTCCTAAATATCTCCATAGTACATCATTTTAAAGATGGGAAAAGGTGTGCTGGTCATTATGTACTGCAACACAAGGTGTGAAGGTGAGGTATTTTGACTCTTTGATATATCATGACCTATTTTTGGTCATTCTCATTATAAATCTAATAACCTACTTCAGTGTAATTTAATTTGAACTCAAATCAACCTTCAGAGATTGTCTCCACTGCTTGGACATGATACGTTTTGTTTTACTCATATGCTGTCAGTGATATATTCCATTCACTTTCCATTAAGGAAACAATGAAGCATTGCTAAGTGCAAAGGGGTCTTTCTGATTTCTTTCGTGTGTGTGTGTGTGTGTGTGTGTGTGTGTGTGTGTGTACTTGTACGACTATCTTTGTGAGGACCAGTTTGAGTTTTAGACCATTGGAGTGAGGACAAAGAGAGTAAAGTGAGGACATTTTGGCCGGTCCTCACTTTCTGAGACCCCTTTAAAGGCCTGTTTGAGGGTCAAGACTTGGTTTTAGGGATAAGGTTATAATTAGGTTATGGGTAGGTTTAGGGTAAGGGTTCGGGTTAAGCACTTAGTTGTGATGAGTAAGGTTAGGGTAAGCGGCTAGAGATTGCATTGTGTCAATGAATGTCCTCATGAAGATAGATGTACAAGAGTGCGTGTGTGTGTGTTAACAAGATTGGCTATACTTTTGTGGGCAAATTTTCTTACTTTTTTACTCACAAATATAATTAAATATCAAAAATAGATTTGTGAAGACATTTGTAGTGGCCCTCACTATTTGAAAACCTTATAAATCCGGCAAAATAAGTTGTGCTTCAAATTGGGATATCACCCGGTTTCTGTAAGGCTTGTTAAAGGAATAATTCACCCAAAAATGAAAATTTCTGTTTACTCACCTTCCTGTCATTCCAAACCCGCACAAACCTTCGGAACACAAATGAAGATATTTTATATATTCTCTCATTATTTTGTCCATCCAAGTTCACGCAAGCAAAAATGGCATGCTTTAAAAAGTAAAAAAAAGAAGACTTCCTAAAAGTAATCCGAATGGAATGGTTTTGTTATGAACTGCTCCGAGACTTGAAGGTGAAGATCCAAATGCAGCTTTATTCAAGAATAGTCGTACAGGCAGGGTCAAGAATCAGCAGACAGGACAATGGAGAATACACAGAGAGAATCCAAGAAACAAGCAGAGGTCAGGGCAGGCAGCAATAATCAAAATCCAAGAACAATCCAGTCAAAAACAGAAAACAAACACGGGAAAACGCTCAGAAATGCAGACACACAGTACAACAAGACTTTGCGGTGAGTGAATGAATGAACATGGTATAAATAGACTGAGACTAGCAGGATGACAAGACACAGGTGAATACAATCAGTGACAATGAGGTACAGGTGAATGTGATCAGTGATGATGAGTCCAGGCAGTGAGTATGGGAAATGTAGTTTGTGAGGAAGTGATCATAGTCTATTGTGGAGCGCCCTCTGGTGGCTTTCGAGGGCACTCCAGCTGGTGATCGTTACATAGCCCCCCCCCAATGAGCGGCTTCCAGACGCTCCAAAACTGTCCAGGTGGGTGGTGGCATGGAGGCGGATCCGGGGGCGGGATGGAGGGCCAGGTCCGTGGAGCATAAGAGGACCTGGAGACTGCGACAGGACGGAAGGCCAGGGCGGAGCAGACAGTCCATCGGGCAGCCAGGGCGGAGCAGACAGTCCATCGGATGGCCAGGGCGGTGCAGACCCTTTGGGCGGCCATGGCGGTGAAGACCCTTCGGGCGGCCACGGCGGTGAAGACCCTTCGGGCGGCCACGGCGGTGAAGACCCCTCGGGTGGCCACGGCGCAGGAACAGGCACCGGCTCAGGAACTGGAACAAGAACAGACTCTGGCTCTGGCTCAGGAACAGGAACAGACTCTGGCTCTGGCTCAGGAACAGGAACAGGAACAGGAACAGGAACAGACTCTGGCTCTGGAACAGGAACAGACTCTGGCTCGGCAGAAGTAGCGTGAACAGTCTCTGAATCGGCCATCTTGTCCGTAGACACTGGCTCGGAGGCGGCCATCTTGTCCGTGGACACTGGCTCGGAGGCGGCCATCTTGTCCGTGGACACTGGCTCGGAGGCGCCCATCTTGTCCGTAGACACTGGCTCGGAGGCGGCCATCTTGTCCGTAGACACTGGCTCGGAGGCGGCCATCTTGTCCGTAGACACTGGCTTGGAGGCGGCCATCTTGTCCGTAGACACTGGCTCAGAAAGAGGAAGAGGATCAGGCTCAGGCTCAGGATCAGGATCGGGATCAGGATCAGGCTCAGGATCAGGATCAGCAGAAGTGACGTGAAGCTCAGTCTCTGGATCGGCAGAAGTGACGTGAAGCTCAGTCTCTGGATCGGCAGAAGTGACGTGAAGCTCAGTCTCTGGATCAGCAGAAGTGACGTGAAGCTCAGTCTCTGGATCGGCAGAAGTGACGTGAAGCTCAGTCTCTGGATCGGCAGAAGTGACGTGAAGCTCAGTCTCTGGATCGGCAGAAGTGACGTGAAGCTCAGTCTCTGGATCGGCAGAAGTGACGTGAAGCTCAGTCTCTGGATCGGCAGAAGTGACGTGAAGCTCAGTCTCTGGATCGGCAGAAGTGACGTGAAGCTCAGTCTCTGGATCGGCAGAAGTGACGTGAAGCTCAGTCTCTGGATCGGCAGAAGTGACGTGAAGCTCAGTCTCTGGATCGGCAGAAGTGACGTGAAGCTCAGTCTCTGGATCGGCAGAAGTGACGTGAAGCTCAGTCTCTGGATCGGCAGAAGTGACGTGAAGCTCAGTCTCTGGATCGGCAGAAGTGACGTGAACAGTCTCTGGATCGGCTGTGCTGACGTGAACAGCAGCCTCTTGCTCGGCAGGCGTGAAGTGAACAGCAGCCTCTTGCTCGGCAGGCGTGACGTGAACAGTCTTTTGTGCGGCAGGCACGACGTGAAGCAGCTCAAGCTCGGCATGAAGCTCAGGCATGTCGTGGTGAAGCTCAGGCATGTCGTGAAGATCTGGCTGGACGTGAAGAAGCTCAGACTTGGCAGGCATGGCGTGAAGATCCTCAGCCTTGTCCACCAAACCCACAGTAAAAGCTGAGCCGCTCAGTTGCAGGGCCAAGTCAATATAAAACTCAAGGGTCCAGCTAGGGTCATGCAATGGCATAAGGTAGCTGAGTGGCTCAGACAGTCCTCCGCGAAAAAATATCATCAAGCATACCTCGTCCATGCAGGTCAGATGAGCATCCTTCAGAAAGTCCATCACATAATTCTCAATTGGTCGATCTCCTTGACGGAGACACATAATTCTCACTGATGGATTCATTTTGGTATCGCTGCTGGATCTTGGGTTGGCGAAGTCTTCTGTTATGAACTGCTCCGAGACTTGAAGGTGAAGATCCAAATGCAGCTTTATTCAAGAATAGTCGTACAGGCAGGGTCAAGAATCAGCAGACAGGACAATGGAGAATATACAGAGAGAATCCAAGAAACAGGCAGAGGTCAGGGCAGGCAGCAATAATCAAAATCCAAGAACAATCCAAAGTCGAAAACAAACAGGGGAAAACGCTCAGAAATGCAGACACACAGTACAACAAGACTTTGCGGTGAGTGAATGAATGAACATGGTATAAATAGACTGAGACTAGCAGGATGACAAGACACAGGTGAATACAATCAGTGACAATGAGGTACAGGTGAATGTGATCAGTGATGATGAGTCCAGGCAGTGAGTATGGGAAATGTAGTTTGTGAGGAAGTGATCATAGTCTATTGTGGAGCGCCCTCTGGTGGCTCTCGAGGGCACTCCAGCTGGTGATCGTTACATAGCCCCCCCCCCCCCCCCAATGAGCGGCTTCCAGACGCTCCAAAACTGTCCAGGTGGGTGGTGGCATGGAGGCGGATCCGGGGGCGGGATGGAGGGCCAGGTCCGTGGAGCAGAAGAGGACCTGGAGACTGCGACAGGACGGAAGGCCAGGGCGGAGCAGACAGTCCATCGGGCGGCCAGGGCGGAGCAGACAGTCCATCGGACGGCCAGTCCAGGCAGTGAGTATGGGAAATGTAGTTTGTGAGGAAGTGATCATGGTCTATTGTGGAGCGCCCTCTGGTGGCTCTCGAGGGCACTCCAGCTGGTGATCGTTACAGGTTTGATCCAAGTCTTTCTTAGAGACACTGTCACTTTATTTGATAAACTGATTTAATTTAAGCTTTAATTTACGTCTTCTTCCATTTATTTATGAAAACAACATGAGAGTGAGTATGACAGAATTGTATTAGTAATTTATTAGTAATTATTTAGTAATTTTATTTTTATTATGGGGTGGATTATCTCTTTAAGGTTTGGGGTCGCAACATGACATCATAGCAAAATATCATCACATCTGTATGAAAACCATTGCATGAGACATCCTAATATAATATAATGTATTATAACTAATATAGTGTATATGTGTTTGTGTATTAGAGTAGGAACTGGATGAGGAGCGGTGGCATTGTCCTGACATATGGAGATGGGCTTCAATTAGCAACCTGAAGCCAAAAGCTGAGCAATGCCACCAACAAACACACTCATACCTCCTGTAGTCTCCATTAAAAAAACACACACACACAAACATTATTAAAATGGTTTAAAAATGCTGATTTCCCCAGCAACCACACAGACACACAAGACAGATGAATTTTAATTTCCATCGTGCATGGCTTGATGAGTGAGTGATCAAATTACGTGATAATGACATCCTGCACTTTTCCTTTATAAAGTTCATCTTCCTCTTTCTCACAGCACAGCAGCTCTGAGGACAGATTCATTTGGCAGATACAGATCCTGCAGTCCATTTGTATTATGAATAATCAATTCAATTATATCATTCAGTCTGTATTGAAGGTATAGTTTACCCAAAAATGAAAATTTTGTCAATAATTACTCACACTCATGTCGTTCCAAACCCGAAAGACTTTCGTTCATCTTTGGAACACAAATTAAGATTTTTTTTATGAAATCTGAGAGCTTTCTGTCCTTCCATTGACAGCTATGCAACCACCACTTTGACGCTTAAAAAGGTTCATAAAGAGATCGTAAAACTAATCCATATGATAATGAGCGGTTTAGTTCAGATTTTCTGTATAGACTCAACCGCTTTATGAACAGATTTAATTTAGGTTTTTATTCACATATAAACATTGATCAGCAAACATAAACAGAAGCTCAACCGAACCTGCTTGACGAGTGAGAACAAACGTCATTGGTTCTTGCGGAAGCTCAAATATGCTGCGTAACACTTGCATGTCAAGCGAACATGCTTGAGCTTCTGTTTACCACAACTGATGTGTGATTTGATGAATATTTATATGTGAATAAAAGCCTAAATGTAATCTATTCATCACATAAAGCTATTGAGTCTCTTCAGAAAATGTTGAACTAAACCGTTCAATTTGTATGGATTAGTTTTACGATCTAATTATGAACTTTTTGAAGCGTCAAAGTGTCAGTTGCGTTAACTATCCATGGAGGGACAGAAATCTCTCAGATTTCATCAAAAAGATCTTAATTTGTGTTACAAAGATGAACGAAATATGTATTACAGGTTTGAAACGACATGAGGGTGAGTAATTAAAGAATTTTCATATTTTGTGTGAACTATCCCTTTACAGTAAGTACAGTAGACTTGATGTCGTTGCAAAACAGTCCCTTTCTTCTCCATAGTCTGACTCATTTCACACTCAGCAACACCACAAATATGTTGAAACAGAATGGTTAAATCTCCTCGTGGCATTTTAATTCTTCACCAGGTATGACCCAAACACAAATCTGTGGAGCAGAGAGGTGGCATCCCTCAGCAGCCCCCGCAGTGGCGTGTGTGTGGTGGAGATGGATGGGCTCATGTATGCCCTGGGGGGATTTGATGGAACAGTCTGTACCAACATCGTAGAGAGGTACTTCGTACAGATGCAACATGAAGACATGGCATCAGGCAACAGTTCTAAATAATTGTTATAAAACATACCATAATGGGACAGTGTATTATCCATTGTATAGACAAAAAAAAAAACGTTTTATAACTGCACAATTAGTGTTCAAAATAGCACTAGTAATATATTTTGTCTCATTTGATCATATGGAATATGACATTGGTTTCCTCTTTATTATCTTTTTGGACAAATCTAATTATTTTATTCAGATATGATCCTGTGCTGGACACTTGGACCAAAATGGCTCCAATGCTCCAGCATCGCACTGGGGCGTCTGCGGCAGTACTGGATGGGTTCTTATATGTCATTGGAGGAACTGATGGAGACATTCCATTGAATTCAGGTCAGAAGTGAGAATTAATGTTTACTACAACCCAGGCTCATTGGAAAAATGTGCTTGTAGAGTAATTTCTGCAAGTAAAATGAACGTGAATCTGGCAACTTATTATTATGTTGGTTGTTGTATGTATCACAGTAGTTTGGATATTAAATGTCCAGTAAGTGGCTCAATAAAGTTATATCGTGTTTGAAAATAATGTACCACCTACACTAAACCTGACCAATAGTGTTAGCAAAGTCAAACATGAGATGAAATGCATTTCATTTTCTAAGCAACTATGCCAAATTAGTTTGCTTCTTAACAAGATTACTCTGTGAGAAAAGCCATACGTGCAGGTTATGTGATGCAAATGTCAAAAAGTATTAGTTTACAAATCATGGACTATGGTAAAAGTGTTTTTGAGGTCATAACACAGTATTGTGCAATAATAATTCTTTATTAATTGATAATCTGTCCATGTAATCATAATTTGTGTAAATAAATAAAAGCTATTGGTGTTTTAATGTTATTTAGGCTGGAAACTGAAGTGAATTGAAGGTATGTTTTTGTATAAATGTAGGTAGGGGCACGTTTTTACAATGAGCCTATGTTGGTTTACTATCCATATGGTTGTCTAATTTTTAAAACAACGGTTGTGTCCTGACGTTCAATACACTATGCACTTCTATCCTATCGTCTAATCCGTCTTCAGTCTAATCGACCAAGGCTGCGTTCAGCCCCGACAAAACGTTGCTCAATGTTTTTTTAAACAGAAACGGTGATGCGTTGAACACACTGTTCTGATGACGCAAGAGTTGCAACTATGGCAGCTGAGAAGGCCATTCTTTGTGTTCTTTGTGAAGAATTTTCGGAGCCTGATGAAGTCGGTATAAATATGTGTTTAATACAAAATATGCCCGATGTTACAGTTACTGCACTTGCTGCCCAGAACACAAGGGCACATCCCAATCGAGTGAAGGGATTTGTGGAAACTGAAATGGAAGCACACCTAATTCAGATTAAAACACATCTATTTAGCCTCAAATACTGACTTTATTTGTAGTTCAAACTGTTTTAATACCGCATACTGCATTTTCTTTCTCAATTTTAGGAAAAGCACTTAATTACCATTGTTTATTTCTATACCAAATGTCATACACTTGCAATGAAGCTAAAAATATAAACAACTACATCATTATGTTGATATCCTATATTTTTACAATAAAACTTACGACAAACATGTCTTCTAATATCCTCAGTTGTTGCGTATACCGAGCTGCATCGAACACATTTGTAAATTACTTTCCTTGAACCCATTGTGCGAGTTCACTTTAATACCGCATGCTTTATGTTGCTGCTGATTGGACTGCAGTTCTGACACACCCACCAAACAAGAGAAAACGTATCTTAAACCCCGTTGCACACCGGTGCACGCCGTTTCCAGGAAACGGCGTCCAAAGGATCTTTTGATTTTGGTTAATTCACACTGCCAGTGATTCTATACGTGCGATGTGATTTGTAATGTCTTAGCAGCATCTTAAGTTTGCTTGTGATCTGCAATTTCTCTTTCGAAAAAAAAAACATTGTGCATTTTTTTTTCTGATTCGATCATAAAATGGTGCATCGCGAACCGTTCCACTAAACTGGAAACCGATCTCAGCTACAGCGTCATTACAGTTTATAGTAAAAAGATATTCAGCAATTAATTTAAAAAGAATAAAAAAAACATTTTATTTTGGCGAAAAACACTACATGCTGTCACTCTGCACTTAATAATAATAGGCCAGAGTTTGTTGATGTTTTTACGTCAGTAGTGACCCAAATGCCTCTCCTGCCAGCTCGCAGACACTCACACAAACTGAAAAAACTGGTCATAGCAATATATATACAGAGAACAAGGGAAAATAGAAGTGCCATACTTGAATGTATTAATGCCTATTTCTGTCTGTGAGAAGTGAGGGTCAAGAGAACTCCCACAACCTTTCCCTGGATATTTACTTATCAGTGCACTGGAAACCATTACAAGCTGTTCAGTGGGGAAAAAAACAGACAAGTGCATCTATATAAAATAAAAGTAAATCTTGTACAGAACAGAAATAAAGATTTAAATTTGTAGATAAATATACAGAGGGTAAACATTATGTGCTGCATTATACACTGCATTAAATATGAATTATTACTGGAACATCTTTAAAAGTGTGCTTTTTAAATCTTTTAAAAGTTGTAAAAGTAATAATACAAATCTACTCCTAAAGTCATGAACAGGACATTTGTCAAATATGTTGTAGTGTAGGCTACAATATGATCACATCGGTGGCCTAGAAAACATAACGTGGGCCGCCATGTTGAGATCATATGACCAGCCAAGTAGTATTATTTTAATTTTTAAATAATAATTTCTACTTGTTTTGCCTATGATATTGCTACAAAGGCATACAATAACCAAAATATTTTCCATTTGTGCAACACTTCACTTATTCATGTATGTGGCAGTATAAAGACTAATGGCCATCAAAACATCACTTAAATGAATAATTCACCCTAAAATGAAAACTTTATTTAAACTCATTTGACTTTTCACATTTCTTTCACAGAACACAATGTTATAGCTGCCCTTTTATACAATAAAAGAATAATAATCACCATGTGTTCATTTAAACAAGAAGTTGGACAATCCGCTAAGTGTCATGCAGGGAACAACATGACTCAAAGTCATCACCCTCTTAATTTATCTGAAACTTATTCAAAAATACATGAGGTTACATCAGTTTGGTTATCCCCCTGATTCAAATCAATCAGCTTTGACATTCTGCTAAATACCTTCTGTTATTTCTACAAAAGAAATAGTCATACAGGTTTGGAATGACATGAGGGAGAGTAAAGGCCAAGATATACTCACGGCGAAGTTCTTTTTCATTCTTTGTTTAGGTCAAAAAATAAGTTCGAAATACCTGAGCAGCTTTATACTATTAGCAAACATCTGCTATAAAGCTGCTCTCCAGTGTGTGCATGTTTTTACTCACAGATGTCTGACCTCGACGGACTGAACAGAAGAAGATTTCTACCTCAAAGAATGCAGAGCCTCAGAGCCACGCCTATTACGTAATCGCCACGGACCAATGGAAGTACGAAGGTGTTTACCAGCCAGAGCAAACTTTTGCGGAAAGTTCACTTTGTCAAGCTGTTTCGAATTCCTAAAACTCCAAACGAAATTAAAGAACGAACTGTTATGACGCCATTTCAAACTAAATCAAGCCAAAACTACATTAATTTGAAGTATATCAGTGCCTTTAATGGTGACAGAATTTTTAATTTTTTTGACTGAACTGTCCCTTTAATAATAAAGTATTTAGCACACCTTCAAATGTCAGTATACTCATAACAGACCAGTCTGTATGTTCCTCACCAGTTGAGCGTTTTAACCCGTTGGAAGGAACATGGCGCCCGTGTCCTCCTATGCGGTCTGCCAGAGAGCAGCCTGGTTGTACGGTATACTTGCGGCGGATCTATGTGGCAGGCGGCAGAGATGAACTACATTTGGAGCTCAACACGGCAGAGAAGTTTGACCCTGACAACCTCAAATGGACCCCGGTCAAACACATGAGACATAAGCGTTTTAAAGTAAGACTTTCCTCACAGCAGCCTGTTTTCTTTTCGACATTTTAGTACACACCTCTTGACACACCTGTTTACTTTTTTGTCTGAAGTACACCGCAGCAAAACTGACACTATTGACAATATATTCTTGCCTCATGGCTGACAGAGTAAAGTGAGTTTATAGTTCTAAGTGTTTCGTTCCATCTCTTGTCATGTTGGCGTTGTGGAGGTTTCACTGGCAGTGTTTGATGGGACGCTGCTGGCAGTCGGAGGCTCAGATGGGATATCAACTCTTACATCAGTTGAGGCTTATAACCCTGACTCAAACACTTGGAGGTGTGAACTATATTTCTGTTATCACAACTTGTGTGTTTAGCATGGTAATGGACATGACAATGTTGATATGTTTGGTCTTGGCGCTGCTGCTACTGCTGCTGTTATTGCTGTTGCTGTTGGTTGTTGCTGTTGGTTATTGCTGCTGCAGAGCAAGTACGGGACTTGCTACTGCCAATACATACACGGCACGTTGCTGTGAGCAAGTAATTACCACCCAACAGAGAAAGTGACTATGAAGATTGAACAATACAAGCCAAGTGTACATCATAGATCAGCAGATCTACCACCAAAACACATGTACTACTGATCCATAGAAACCGCATATGCTAGCTATTTGCGCCTGACCCTTTAGTTTTATTTGAGTTTAAGAAATGGGGCATATGCTTGGTCTTCGCGGACTAGATTAGCCTACGCAAGTATTCCCCCAAGCAAATCTAGTCGTTAGATATGTAGGATGCCATGAGGTGGGGTGTGTGGTATGGTGCGCATGGCTTAACACTAGTGGGCCATGCAATTTGTGCCTGAACTTGCTTTGCCGAATGGCTTAACGCTACTGGGCTATGCTATTTGTGCCTGGGCCTGCTTTGCCGAATGGTTTAATGCTAGTGGACTATGTTATGTCTGCCTGAGCCAATATGGCTCAAACGTACCTAATTAGAATATGCACTATGTGTGGCTTTAACAAATATTATGTTGCAGGCTGATGGAGATGAGAAAAGAAACCTCCAGCAACCACCTGATTTGTCAAAACACTCTATTCTTCTATTTGAATATGTGGAATTCTGACACTGCGTGCAGCTGAAATGCTGTATAAACATGATAATGTAATCGCTGCTGCTTTTGTGCTTTATAATTTATTGAATGCAAGACTGTAAAACATAATGCTTGGTTTTTAACCTTGTGCAACTGCTACAGCAAATGCTGACCAAGTATTTGAAGATTGAGCAGCGAGCTCATTGGCTACTGATACAGCAGGAACCAATCAGCTGTGCCCTATAGAGAATGATGTGAAATCAGTCAGATTCAAAGAGTTAGTTCACCCAAAAATGAAATTTCTGTCATTACTTATTCACCCCCATGTCGTTCCAAACCCGTAAGACCTTCGTTCATCTTCGGAACACAAATGAAGATATTTTTGATGAAATCCGAGAGCCGTCTGTTCCCTCCTTAGACAGCAACGTCATTGCAACTTTCAAGGACCAGAAAGGTAGTAGAGACATCGTTAAAATAGTCCATGTGACAGTGGTGCAAATGTAATGTTATGAAGCGACAAGAATACTTTTTGTGCGCAAAAAAAACAAACCAAAAATGTATTAAAGGGGTGGTATAATGCCCTTTTCACAAGATGTAAAATAAGGCTCAATCCCAATTCACCCCTTGGCCCTACCCCTTGTTTTCGAGTGTACCCCTTGGCCCTTAAAACAGAGTTACAAGGGCCAAGGGGTTGAAATATTCCCCTACGAAATGGAACAACCCTTCATGAACCCGATACGTCATCAGTCGTCGGCGATGGCTCTGCCGTTACAGAGTTTTTACAGGATTTCTCCATGACAACGACTGACAATCAGCGCAGCTGCTCTTAACTTTGAGGAAACATGCTGCTTGTAACGTTCCTTCCTCGAAATGTATGTCTTTTCTGTTTCGGAAAGGTAATTTATTATACAATTTCTTAATTTAAATGACTATATCATTATTATAAGAGTAAATAAAGTGCACGGTGGTGTCGCCTGGCGCTAAATTGAAATGTTTAACCGTTTGTGAAGCCATCTCACCGGTGATTCGCGATGTATTCTGCGAACTTTCTCGTAGCCCTCCGTTTGGAGTGTGCCTCTGAAAAATCTCCGTTTCGAGGGCTATGTAGCCCTACCCCTTAGCCCAGGGGTCGGGAACCTTTTTTGACCAAAGAGCCATTTTTTCATTTTTGGTTAATGCATTTTTCCAAAAGAGCCACAGTAAAATAATTATATAATATTATTATTAAAGACGTGCTTTTTATCAATAATTTCAACAGCATTAGGCTAAAAACAAACAAATATTTAGCAAAGTTTCAATATTAATTGTGAAGGGCTTTCACTGTGAGGTTGAGTTATCAACTGATGAGCATAAATCCTCTCGGTCTGCGAGAGAGAGCGAGAGCGGGAGCTTACATTTACTGTGTTTACGTGAATACTCGACTTGCCATTTTTATATATTTCTGTATTTATTTGGCCGTTTCGGTGCGCGACCGAAGACAAAGGCTATGCTTTTCCGTGTTGCACGCGCACACAGCATCCTGCCAGTAATTCCGTTCTCTTTCGCGACTTATCGCGCTTTTAATATTTCTTTTCAATATAAAGCACACCCTTCTCTTTTTTTCATTCCTTCAATTTTTGTTAGTAATAACTTAAAACAGAATCGTCAACTGAAATCTGCGTGGATTATCAAACCCATTTGTCATAAAGGGTCTCAGCGGCAAAAGTGAAAGTATTAAAGTGTATGCTGATTTTCGCCATTATGCCTACGTTAAACAAGCTGCAGCTGCTTGAATCCCAATGCAGGAGCTGTAGGTTATCACAGAGACAAGTTGATAGCTCTGATGACTCGTAAAACTCGTGAGCGCGACCAGCACTGAATACGCACTTTTGCCGGTACAACATGAATATACTTATTATCATAAACGTTTAACTAACTTCAGTAGACTGTGCTACAAGGGAATTGTAACTGGCAGATTTTTCTGCAGAGAGCCGATCTCTTTTGATGTGTCTTTTTTTTTTTTTTTTTCGCTCGTTTGTTGGTAAAGGGTGAGAGACCTCGCGAGCCACATGATTTTTGCCAAAGAGCCAGGTATGGCTCGCGAGCCATAGGTTCCCGACCGCTGCCTTAGCCCTACCCCTCGATCTAAACAAGAATCGGGACACCCTACCCCTTAACGTGAACGCGCAAAATGGAGGGGTAGGGCCAAGGGGTAGGGGCAAGGGGTGAATTGGGATTGAGCCTAAGTCTTTGATGTCCCCAGAGTGTTTTAGCTCAAAATATCCCACAGATATTTTTATATAGCATGTTAAAATTGTCCCTTTTTGATGGTGAGCAAAAACGCACCGTTTTTGTGCCTGTCCCTTTAAATGCACATGAGCTGCTGCTCCCAGCACAGGGGGCGGAGCTACAACAGTTTATGTCCTTTTACCTCACACAGACATGCACTTAAAATTTCAATGTTTATGTTCAAACCGGAGTCAGACAATAATGGAGAGAGTCAAGAAGAAGTGACAACATGTACAATGCAACAGGACATTTCTGAATGGTTGATGAATTTATGTAGCTTATGTGTAGTTATCTTCTAGTCATTGATTAGCATATTCTGTCATGATAATCTATAAATCACATTCCCGGGGGAGGGGTTTATGTAAATTTTAGGGTTGGTGTTGTCACTAACCCGTGAGGAATGTCATGTAGTCTCTACCAGTCGTTTGTTGTATTCCTTTAAAAAAAAACGATTTCCTTAAAAGCAAATATCTTCCTGTGCTTTGAACTTTGATCTTCGTAACTTTGCAGATGTTGTTTATGCTCAAACAGCAACATTACACACTAACTAAAATTAAAAAAATTAAATCATAATCAACCACCCCTTTAATAATCTCTTCTCTTCCACGTAATTCTCCTACACTGTTGAAGTAGTGCACTTCCGGTTTCTACGCCAGAACACAAAAACCACAAACGTTTTTTTGTCGCTTCATAACATTACATTTAAACCACTGTAGTCACATGGACTACTTCAACAATGTCTTTACTACCTTTCTGGACCTTGAAAGTTGCATGACGTTGCAGTCGGAGGGATCAGAAAGCTCTCGGATTTCATCAAAAATATTACGAAAAAAAGTAAAAGTATTATGAGGGTGAGGGTGAGTAATTAATGACAGAAATTTCATTTTTGGGTGAACTATTCCTTAAAGCACCTATCAGCCTGCATCATGTAGTTTCATGACAGAACTTTGTATTCTTACACATCCATCAAGTCTTCTATTCAAAACAAAAAGGATTATATCTCTTTGTTTTGGTAATGCTTTTTCTATTTCTTCTCTTGACAGACACTTTGGATGTATGAAGACTAAGCACCCAGGGGCTGGGGTTGTCTTGCTAAAAAGACACATTAAGGACTTGCTCTAAATTTGTGCTTCATTTGCTAAACTCTAGTTTGATCTCTGAGTAAAAGTCTATTTGATAGATCTGTGACTGCAATAAAATGTGTTAAAACCATAGGTTTATGGTTAGTGGAGCTAATATGTCAGAGGTGAGTAATGAAATAAGCAGAACAATAATTTAATTTCAACCATGAGAGAAACCATTCATTACATTAGATGGGTCCCTCTGGGAAGGTTATATTTACAGACATAAAGTTTGGCATGTAAAATGAGTGCACACTTTTTGAGGTGCCTTGTTATGGACACTTACTAATGGACAGTCCCTCTGGAACAATCTGGAGTTACAAGCATTGGTCAATGGCATTAATAAAAGGAGATCTTAGTACAGTACTTCTCCATTTCACCTCTTCCAGGGCAGGGTATAAACCTCAGGCCTTTGGGTTTCCATATCACAATAGTACAACAACCTTATGGGTTCAACATCTCCCTCATGTAAGAACTAGACACAACTTTTGACAAAGCACAAATCTTTTAAATAAAACTATTAAAGCTGTTCTGTTAAAAATGTTCTCTGACTCATGAAAATATTTGGAAAATATCAAGGAGGTTCATACAAATTATGTGAGAACATATTTTCTGTAACTATTTTTGAATTACAACTAATTTTGATATTTTTGGGATGTCGTAAATGTCTATATTGCACCAACTGTCACAAAGACTGAAATTCTCAAATATAGAATTCTAGAAATCCTATGCATGTTTGGCATAATCTTTCCATATTAATGCTTATAATAATGAAAGCAATGAATCAGCTTGGTTATCCACAAAGTCACTGTTGATTATCTAATATATTCAAGAGATATTTTGTTGTCATGTGACACATTCTGACAATGTTACCCATTTAAACCCTTATGACTGTGTCAAGGAAAAAAAATAAACATGTTTAACTAATTTTTATTCTCGCATTCAAGTGTGTACAAGTCAATGTACATTCAAGGTCCAAGCATGAAAGTATTTCCATACTTTGTATGTGATGGTTACACCACTCAGCATTCTTCAAATCAATTTTTGTAATACACATTGTTAAAAAATATATAAAAACCAACATAAATACAAAGATAAAATTTCTACGAACTTTGCAAGACAAGGCTTGTTGTCTTTAAAGACAATATCCTTATGTCTTGAACCTTGTAAGGATGCTATCATTGGCTCCTTTTTATTACCTTATCAGTTTATTTAATATATATATATATATATATATATATATATATATATATATACATATATATATATATTGTATTGTCTTTTAATTTGTATTATTCGTTTTATATGAATATTCTCACTGGATGTTAGTATGAAATGTTTAATTAATCTTTGGTTCTTATGGTCTATATTCATTTTAATAGGCCTATGTCATCTCGTTAATAAAGAATTACGTTGATTGTTAAAGATGCAATTCTGCTTGAATGATTTTTATTAAATGAATTGCATCTAAAAGTGGATGGCCTAATCTAAGCCTTGATTTTGATTGGTTCGCTGCTCATTGTTAAAATGCACATAGCATGAAATGTTTGACGTCGATGTGAATGTTTGTGGTGCATATATTTTAATTATACAGTAGGCTATATTTAAGTAGGCTACAGTTTGATTAGGATTGCGCGCGTCTAGTTAGTCATGTCCGTGTTGAGGATTTCATGTGGTCCAGGAGATGGCGATGTAAGCTTTGAAGGGGAGGGAAGAGAAGCTGTACGGATGACTTAGTGGCTTTACCTAACAGATGCAGAGGTGACATGCAGCGTCTCAAATGTTTCCCTGCTGCCCTACATCTCGCCTGACGCGTTTTCTTCTCGTGAATCAAGGCTATGGAATCCACTGGATGCAGAGAGAATCTGAACACGTGAACTTCTAGATGGTTGTATGATGGGGACAACATATTATCTTGCTTAAATAATAACCAACATCATCAGCATCTCATAGATGCAAAGTTGAATCGCACGCGACAAAAATAAACAGAGATGTTGAAGGTATTGTGAGTTTCGCCCAGTGGTGGTCGTCTGTAAGAGGAGGGTTTAATCAGGGTCGTTATACGCCCCTTTAATGCAAGTTTCCATGGAGGACGGATCTATTAGGAGGACATTTCCATCGGAAGTCCTTCACGGACTCTTCGCAGTGGCTTTTGTAAAAAATGTGCGGCGCTTGGGTCGCCAGTAACACGGTTATTTACAATGATGGGACCGCGCAGCCAGTCTCAGGCAGGTGAGGATGGACATCATGTCATATCACGGATGACTAATTCGTGCTTTATTGCGCGGTGCTTCGTACTTTTTACGTTTATCATATTGTTTTGTAAAGATTGCTTTTGGGCTTAAGTAGTACTGCTGTTGATTTGCTTGTGAAAATTAAACATAGATTGGTTTATTATTATTTTTGAAAACCTATGTTGAATGGGGAAAAGGCAAACCACTATAAAAAGTAAAAGTAGGCTATGTAGTTGTTACTGTAAAACATAGCTGGACAAATACTGAATTTTATAACCATTGAACTGTACAATCACCAGTACAGATGATGATGATGGTGATGGTTTTGTGTAAGTGTCTGATAACTGATATCCAGAATCGATTTTTCATTGTTGTATATAGTTTTATGTTTATAAATTATTTTAATATGGTGTTACCTTAATGTAGAGCTGGAGGCATATTGAATATGTATTACCAATAATAATAATCTTACCAATAATACCAGTACAGATTTTTTATTATTAAAGATGATGATGATACAAATAATAATATGAATAATGATGTTAATTATGCAATGTTTTTAAATGCAGTCTTAATTTCATCTTTGTTTTTGAGTTGTATAATTTATAATTTATTCAGCTATGCCTTTCTTGCTTGGGAATAAGTGGCTGTTATATAAAGGTTGAATAATTGTCCAAACAGTGCATTAAATCTGTTAACTGTGAATATTGTTGAGTGGTATTCTGTATAGCTGCACCAAATGGTGCTTTTAATTTCTAGACTTGATAGTAAGCAACCAGTAACCAATTAATTGTGCATATCGCTAACAAATATTGAACTGATTATTGGTCTATCATTGCTTTAAACAGCTATTTCTACCTGATTTGACTTTAAAAAGTTACTTTAATATATTTGTGATTTGTTATGTACTGTATTAGTTATCTATTTATTTATAAAACTAATTAGTGTAGATGTTACCATATGAAGTACATATTTCAGTTGCCTGTCAAAATATACTGTCTGCAAGGGCATTTTTTGTGTGTGTCACTGCCATTTTTCGCCTTAGCAATACAATTTTTTTATATCCTCAGCAGTCCTTTGTATTAGCGTCTGAACACTGTATAACCCTTGAGCAAAGGTACATTTTAGTCTGAGTTTTATTCACTGTACTTCACTGTACCCCTTGGCCAGCCAAATAACCCTCCACCCACTCATCAGCGATTTGCACACTAATGCAGTGGCTCACTACTGTCATTACACACTCATGTATCCCTGAGAGTGCTAATAGAAACCATACAGGGAACATTCTAGATGACAGTTTTCACAGTGTACAAAATGTGACAAGAATGACATAAAAGGTGAAAATCAGTACGTAGATTGAAGTTCCTCAAGGGTATAATTATGGCTAAGGATACTGGTGAACTATCTGTGAAAGATGTCTTGTTATTGAATCACTGTTAGATAGAGACTATTAAAACTTTCCAGCTTAGAAAGTTACAGTTATGTGAATTAGCCTAAAGTAATGAATTTCGGATGTAACCCTGCATTAGCCTGCAACAGCATGGATTAATTTTATGTTTATGCATGTGACTATAAGATTTAGCAGTAATCCTTATCATTTCTCTCCATATTGTCAGAGCCAAGCATGACTCCGCCACGATGCTCATCCTCCGCTGCTGACAGGTAAACATGCTACACATGGAAATTTTGTTACAATTGCTTGGTTGTAGTCCTGAAACTATCAATGAATAATACATTTTGTGTATACATGCATAATGTATACTATATAATATATTTACGATTTACGTCTGTTTCTTCAGGTTGCCTACGGAGACTGTTCAGAGAAATAACAGCAGTAATACTGGTGTTATTCTGGACATCTCCACCCTGAAAATGGCCGATGTGGACTCTGAGGTTCCTCCTCTACCTCCACGATACCGCTTTAGAGATCTGCTGCTTGGAGATCAATCATTTCAGAATGATGACAGGTAACTTCATACTGTGTGTCCTCAGTGGCTCTCTCAGGAGGTGTACTTTATGAATTCATAAAGCTTTTATAAGGCCCACATTTATAGTACACTGGTATTGCTGTCCACATATAGGGTTTTTCTTGCCATTGCTTTTTAATTAAGAGCTGAAAAATTAAGGTAAGGAGGACATTTCAGCATTGTAAAATGCAGAACTGGCATTTACTATTAGACTGTAAAAAATGAAAACATGGAGCTACCTGATCTGATCCCTACAAACTACCTTTGTTGGTGAAACCCAATGTAAATCTGTTAGGCTTTTCAGTTACTTATGCCATTGTAGAAATGGACTATGAACTGTCATCCATGTTTAATTTATTCTGCAAGTGAAATTGGTCATGTGATCTTAACATGTCAACCCTCATGAGGCAACTCACTCCATGTAAAATGAAACAACTTTAATTAGTCTGCTTATTTGATATCATCTTATGTGGGTGTATTATTATTATTTTAAAACAATTTTTAAAAATAGCTATTTTTTTTATGTGTAAAATGTTTTTAATGAGGGGGAAATAACTAAGTGCACCTTTAAATAATACATATAATTAAATAATTAAGTGTTTTAACTTAAACTAGAAATGATAAATAAATACATACGTGTGTGTGTGTGTGTGTGTGTTGAGAAAGAGACTGCATTCCAGATATTGTTTTATGAATAATTATATCAATACCACACATGCAAGTTTACAATCAAACTTGTGGACCCACAAACCAGTGGACTGGGTTTATATAATATCAGATATAAAATGCATCTTAGCAAATTGTACATGTGGTGTATATGTTCTAGGTTTGCTTTATGGACTTATATTATACAGTATATAATGAGTGTAAACTGTACGTTTGTGTGAGAATATCATGAAGTGTGTGTGTTTGTTGGGTTATGGGGAGCTGTCCTTCACTGTGGTGCTGAAGTTAAATAGAGGCTGAAATGCAGACCTGAAGAAAGACTGTAAATGTTTCTTCTCCGTCTTGCTCAATGACTCAACGCTTTGTGATGAATTCAAGGCCGTAACATACAGTACAGTCAAGACTGCCTGCGTATAAGAGAGCCATTGTTACTTATTTAAATAGCTGTGAGCTGTTTCTGATCATGCATACAGAAATCGCAGAGGTAACATTCAGGGGAACCTTTATGTTTTCAAGAAAACTTTATCAAGCACAACTTTGAGTGATATTTCTGTTAAAGGTTTCTTTACAATTGTGTGCACAAGAAATACATTATGTCTGCATCATTTAGCTAACAATAACAGACATCATGGCTGCTCTGAGTCTGCTGTGGTTTTATTGGTGTATGCTTCGTTTCCCCTCTGGTGTGTGAAAATTGTGCTCTATTATCCCTCTGTGGTGCAAGCCACAAATCATTGATTTGTTTTTTGTTTTTGTTTTAATCCAGCTTCTGTCCTTGTATTACTCCTTCGTTCTGTTGTATATCTCAGCTAGTCAAAGCAGGTAGTCACATTATAAGATTCACTGTCTTGGTTTAATTGTCTTACAATGCTTATGGCAATGGTTGCACACTATTATTTGAGCCCTCTCTGGCAGGTTGTAAGTCAAGTCAAGTCATTTATAGCGCTTTTAACAATATAGATTGTTTCAAAGCAGCTTCACAGTGATAATTGGAAATTAAAGTAACAGAGATTGTTTTGGCTTAACAGCAGCTCTAGAATGTTATTGTCCAGCTAAAGTTAGTTTTGATTGATTCACTTCCGTTGCAACGATCATTAGTTATTAACTTAGGGCCAGCTAACACGACACCGTTCTAACAGAAAACCCTGTATTGAGAATACAGAAACAGTATTTATGGCGAGCAGTACGAGGCCGAGGGACGTGAGAGAACGGCGCGTTTATTGAATAGTTCACTCCAAAATGAAAATTCTGTCAGTAATTACTCGCCCTCATGTTGTTCCAACCCCGTAAGACTTTCGTTCATCTTCGGAACATAAATTAAGATATTTTTGATTAAATCTGAGAGCTGGATCACTCCTCCATAGGCTTCTAAGGGATTGAAACTTGCCGGCCAAGAAAAGTTATTAAATACATTGTTAAAATAGTCCAAGTGACTACAGTGGCTCAATCTTAAGTTTATCAAGCGACGAGAATACATTTTGTGCGCAAAAAAACAAAACAAAAATAACGACTTTATTCAACTATTTATTTCCTTCTCTGTTAGCCTCGAGTTAGTTCACGTAGTGTAACTGTGCAACGCTTCTGGATTAATGTGTTTATTTTGCCGCCTGTCTGTTTGCCTGTCTATTTTCAGCATCCGCTCCGACATATGCGTACAACCTACTCCTAAGCTGCGGGTGGTGCTAACCTCATGATTGTCTTCTACTTCACACCGCTTCACACGCGTTACTTACGTTTCACAGCCTATCTATATTCACACACATTGTTGAGTCTGACTTTCAAGAGCGATGGAACCGTCAGAGCGAGCTGGCAATGAAAGTGAAATGTTACACACTCCAGTCGGCGTCAAGTCATGGGTGTGGAAGTATTTTGGCTTCAGGAAAACAGATGGAGCAGTGGTAAGAGATGTTGCCGTTTGCAAAGAGAAAGACTGCTATAGTGTAACATACACATTATGTGAATAGAATACTGTGGCGAGCAGGACGAGGGACGTGAGAGAACGGCACGAGGCCGGTAGGGTGAGTGTTCGTCACCTGTGTTAATGAATGTCACCTGTTAACGTTTATTAACACTCACGCCACCGGCCTCGTGCCGTTCTCTCACGTCCCTCGGCCTCGTACTGCTCGTACTTGTTTCTATATTCTCAATAAAAGGCTATTTTTTTTATTTTTTATTTTTTTATTTGAAACTTAATAGATGTCATGTGAAAATATCTAGTATTGAATCGTATCGAATCGTATCGCGGGAAATTCTGAAGTATCGAAAATAATCGAATCGTTGGCTTAAGAAATCGGTATCGTATCGAATCGTCATTAAGGCTCCGATTTACACCCCTAATGTGTTATGTGTATGCTAGGTCAAAGAGATGTGTTTTTAGTCTAGATTGAACTGGCAGAGTGTGTATGCTTCCCAGACATTGTTAGGAAGACTGTTCCAAAGTTTTGGTGCTAAATAGGAAAAGGATCTACCGCCTGCAGTCGATTTTTATATTCTAGGTATTATCAACTGGCCGGAATTTTAAGATTGCAATAGACGTGACGGACTATAATGCGTTAAGCGCTCGCTCAAGTACTGGGGAGCTAAACCATTTAGTGTAATCAGCAATATTTTTAAATTTATACAATGTTTAATAGGGAGCCAATGCAGTGTTGACAGAACTGGGCTAATATGGTCATATGGCCATACAAGTGGTCCATATGTCTCAGGGGAGACTGCTGACTTCAAACTTTTCCCTTTTTAAGTTTCTTTTTCAGGCCAGGCCAGGCCAAGTCAATGTAACGAGAACACTACATAATTTATCTTTACACTAAATCTTAACTGTGACTCAAGCTCTTAGAAATGAAGCACACAGAAAGCAATATCCTGCCGTGTGAGTGCTGCAATTATGGACTTTCGACTTCTCTTACTCGCATGTCCTCTCTGTATTCTCAGCATTTGTGAAGGTACTTATGCTTTATATATTATACAGGCATGTGAAAATGAAAGGACACCATATTGAATGCTATGGTTTTATGTATCAGGACATAATAATCTGGGCCCGGTTCCCCGATAACGTTCACTCTTAGCATGCTAAGAAGACTCGAAAGATATATCTTACCAAAGTTGTTTATGTTCCTAAGTGTGTTCCCCGAAGTGTCCCTTAGGAAGCTTCTTAACACACTGCCTCTTAGAGAGAGGTTAAAGAATGGGTTAAGAACTACTTAGCGATAAAAACGTTTTGGGGAACCGGGCCCTGGTCTTTGGCAGGTCTTAAAATTAGGTAAATACAACCTCAGATGAACAATAACACATGGCATATTACACAGTGTCATTATTTATTTAACAAAAACTAGGCCAAAATGGAAAAGTCATGGGCGACAAACTAAGTACACCCTTACTGCTTCCATAGGAATTAAGAGGGTAAGTGATTTTGATTATTTGATCATTAGCAAGTGTAATCACCTCTATAAAATCAGAAGTTTTGGCAGTTTGCTGGTCTGGAGCCTTCAGGTGTGTGTTAACACAATGCCAAGGAGGAAAGACATCAGTAATGATCTTAGAAAAGCAATTGTTGCTGCCATCAATATGAGAAGGGTTATATGGCCATTTTCCAAACAATTTGAAGTCCATTATTCTAATCTACAGCAAGGAAGATTATTCACAAGTGGATAAGACAGTTGCCAATCTTCCCAGGAGAGGACGTCCCAGCAAATTTACCCCAAGGTCAAACCGTGCAATGCTCAGAGAAATCGCAAAACACCCCAACCTTAAACTGTACAGGCCTCCGTTAATATGTTAAATGTTAAAGTTCATGGCAGTACAATTAGAAAAAGATGGGATTGCCAGTAGAAGCTTCTTCTCTCTAAAAAGAACATAGCAGCATGGCTTAGGTTTGCAAAGTTGCATCTGAACAAACCTCAAGACTTTTGGAACAATGTCCTCTGGACAGACAAAGTAGAGATGATGGCCTTAATGCACAGCGCCAAGTTAGGCGAAAACTAAACACAGCATATCACCACAAACACCTCATACAACTGTTCATCACGCTGATGGAAGGTTGATGATTTTTGGCTTGTTTTGCAGCCACGTGACCTGGGCACCTTACAGTCATTGAGTCGACCATGAACTCCTCAATATATGAGGAGTTCTGTCCGACAGCTAAAGCCTGGCCGAAATTGGTCATTCAACAGGACAATGATCCCATGCACACCAGCAAATCTACAACAGAATGGCTGAAAAAGAAAATGATCAGTGTTGCACTGGCCAAGTCAAAGTCCAGATCTCAACCTGACTGAAATGCTGTGGCGGGATCTTAAGAGAGCTGTGCATAAACCAATGCCACCTCAATGAACTGA